AGAGGAGAAGGGAAGCCCTTGGTGTGCTGGGAGGTTGGATTTGATCTGGACCTCTACGAAAAGTGGTGGGGGTATCAGAGGAAGGCCTAAGGTATGTTTGAGGTCAGAGTGTAATCTAGAAGGCTCAGTGGAAGGTTCACCCGGTGACGGAGGAGAGACGCTAAAAACAATTTTGGCCTGAGATTAGGGAGGGCCTTTGATGACAGGTGGACGAGTTTGTACTTCAGATGACTGAGTGACAATTAAAGGGTTTTGAGCAAAGATGTAACTTTCATCTGACAAATATTTAATAAGTTCCTCCCACGGGCCAGGTACTGTTCTAGGGGATGAGGATACAGTGGTGAACAAAACAGAGTCCCTAGCCTCACAGACCTTACAGTCTAATCTAAGTTAGGAGACAATGGGCATCTTAATGCATAATGTCCATTTGTGACAAATGCTGGGAAGAGATACAGTGCAGCACAGGAAGGTGGAGACTGACTGTGGGGAGTGGGGTGAGGAATGACAGGAAGGTATTTTCCTTGGGGTGTAGGGAAGGCCTCTCCCTCTCCTGTACGGTGAACATAAAGCCAAGGCCTGAACCAGGGAGGCAGGGAGCCAGGCTGATATCTGGGAGAAGAGTGCACCCAGCAGAAGGAACAGCTCGTGCGGAGACACTGAGTGAGGCGTGCGCTCAGACCTGTCAGGGAGCAGCAGCTTGCAGGAGTGGAGCGAGGGAGCCAGTCATGCTAGGAGATGAGATCAGAAACATAGCCAGGGGCTAGATGATTCAGGGCTTGAAGGGACTTGGATACAATTCTCTAGCAGGATGGGAAGCCACTGAAGGATGAGGGGAGTGATGTGACAGGTTTACATTTTAAAAGGACCGTTCTGGATGCCATGTAACCAGGGTTAGGAGTAGAAGTAGGGAGACTCCTTAGGAGGCTGTTGCAGGAAGAAATGTGTGAAGGTGAATATGAAAGTGGTGGTGGGGAAGACAGGGGCAGGAACCTGGCTACCCCATCTCCCATCTCTGGAAAAAACCCTAAGTCCTCTCCTCCATTTCCTTTCCACCTTATGCCCCTGCTTATCCCTACTTCTCCCTCTCCTTCTGCTGGTCTAGTCGCCCTCTCCTGCCTTTGGACACTAATCCCCTTAGCTCTTGCCCCTTACCTGTACCTGTTTCTCTCCTCCCGATCTTCCAGGATTACTTTTTCTAGGTAACTAGGTGGGCGGGGTCTCTGGGTGACTGTGTATCCTCTCACTCAGGTGGTTGTGGCAACAAACATCGCCGAGACATCGCTCACCATTGAGGGCATCATTTACGTGCTGGATCCAGGGTTCTGTAAGCAGAAGAGCTACAACCCCCGCACAGGCATGGAATCGCTCACTGTCACACCCTGCAGCAAGGTCAGCAGGGTCTCCATGAGGGGAGGGGGGAGTGGAATCAGCCTACAGGAAGGTCCAACTCAGAAGCCTACGAGGGCTTCTTAGGGAATGGGGGCTAAGCAGTCTACATCCTCCCAGATTTCTTGTGTAAATACTACCCTTTCTCTTTTCCTTAACTCAGTTGTCAGCCAGCTTGCCTCTTCTTTGTTTCCAGGCCTCAGCCAATCAGCGAGCTGGTCGGGCAGGTCGGGTGGCTGCTGGGAAGTGCTTCCGCCTGTATACCGCCTGGGCCTATCAGCACGAGCTGGAGGAAACCACAGTGCCCGAGATCCAGAGGACCAGCCTGGGCAATGTCGTGTTGCTGCTCAAGAGCTTGGGTGATTGGGGTCCCCTGTCCACCTGAGAGAGGAGGGAGGTGGGGCTGGAGTCACTGGTCCTTGTGAAGGGACTCTGTTCTACCCTGTCACATCTTTCTCCAGGGATCCATGACCTAATGCACTTTGATTTCCTGGACCCGCCGCCATATGAGACCCTGCTGCTGGCTTTGGAGCAGCTGTACGCTCTGGGAGCTCTCAACCACTTGGGGGAGCTCACCACGGTGAGGTGGGAGGGCAGCGGGCTGGGGCAGGATGAAGGAGTCGGGGTGACCCCTTGAGTGGTGGAGGGACACCTGAGGGACAACTGGCTTCAACTCACTCTCTTTCCTCTCCTTAGTCTGGTCGAAAGATGGCAGAGCTGCCAGTGGACCCCATGCTGTCTAAAATGATCTTGGCCTCTGAGAAGTAAGCCCCCCAGTCTGGCCGGGTCCCCAGCACAAACTGGCCATGCCTCCTCCTGTCTCTGGTGCTTTCCTTGCTCTTTTTCCCTCTGCCACAGTATTCTTTAACAAATAATAAGTTACTACAAAACTCTTATTGCCCCTTTTGAGGCCCGTAAATGTCAGTAAGACACTGTCCTGTCCTTGATCATGATATCAAATGGCTAAGATTGACAAACAGAAAATTTGGGGGCATGGGTGAAAGTGGAGGATTTTCCATCTGCGAGGAGCGCTGGGTGAGGGCTGGTTTGGGGACTCACTTATTTCTAAGGTTTCAGACTGGAACATTTAGATGTAACTGTGGAGAGACCACCTTTAAATGCCATTCCTCTCCCGTGGTTGAGGGTCAGAGGTCATTACATGAGCTTAAAGAACTGTTGTCTTTCTGCAATGCACCTACCACACACTTTCCTACTCCAGAAGCCGTGGAGTGCTCAGTGCTTCCCTGCCGCCGCCTCCGTGGATATGCCTGCTCTCTAACTGCTTCGTCTATGGTCCCCACCTCCTTGACCCCCATACTGCTGGCACTGCTATCAAATCTGTCTACTCTGATTTGTAGCCATTATCCCAGCCAGCATCCCCCACAGGAGGACACACCCATCACCTTCCCGCCTGCGTGTGTCTGTTCCGATGTGTCTTGCTTTGAAATCTCATGTTTTTCCCTTCCTGCCCCAGATACAGCTGTTCAGAGGAGATCCTGACGGTGGCTGCCATGCTCTCTGTCAACAATTCCATCTTCTACCGACCCAAGGACAAGGTCGTCCATGCTGATAATGCGCGTGTCAACTTCTTCCTCCCTGGTGGGGACCATCTGGTTCTGCTAAACGTTTATACACAGGTCACTGGGCTTGGGTGAGTGGGAATGAGGGAAACATGGGGGACTCTGGTCCTTCCCTATACGTAACCCTCACCCCCTTGTCTTCACAGTGGGCTGAGAGTGGTTACTCTTCCCAGTGGTGCTATGAGAATTTTGTACAGTTCAGATCAATGCGCCGAGCCCGGGATGTACGGGAACAGCTGGAGGGGCTCTTGGAACGCGTGGAAGTTGGTCTCAGTTCCTGCCAGGGGGACTATATCCGTGTACGCAAGGTCAGTGTTTTAGTCTACTGCTGCCCACCCAGTGTCTCCCAGGGAGCAAGCTTCTCTGGGGGTCTGCAGCCATTCCACCAGCCTGAGTGTGCCCTCCTCCACTGTGGAAGGTGTGCTGCCCCCATGCTTTCTTCCCCGGACCACTGAAGGCCCCTTCTCAGGGGGTTCTTCATGCATTCTGTACCTTTCTGGTTCTCCAGAAGCCTGAACTCAGAAGGTAGTGAGTGCTGAGGGTCCCTGGATGTCTGGCTTTCCCATTGACTTTCTCTCCCGCCTGCCCCTTAGGCCATCACTGCTGGTTACTTTTACCACACAGCGCGGTTGACTCGCAGCGGCTATCGCACAGTCAAACAGCAGCAGACAGTGTTCATCCATCCCAACTCCTCCCTCTTTGAGGAACAGCCACGCTGGCTGCTCTACCATGAACTTGTCTTGACCACCAAGGAGTTCATGAGACAGGTGAGGGGACCATCCCCTGCCTAGGCAGTGGAAATTGTACAGGGGGATGGTATCCTGGTAAGCTAAGAACCCAGGTTCATGTTGCTGGAACTGGCAGAGAAACAGGAAAACACATTGGCTTAAGGTAGGATAAAACAGAAAGACACCTTTTTTTTTTTTGAGGAAGATTATCCCTGAGCTAACTACTGCCAGTCCTTTTTGCTGAGGAAGACTGGCCCTGAGCTAACACGTGTGCCCATCTTCCTCTACTGTATATGTGGACGCCTACCACAGCATGGCTTTTGCCAAGCGGTGCCATGTCCGCGCCCAGGATCCAAACCGGCGAACCCCGGGCCGCCGAGAAGTGGAACGTTCGAACTTTTTTTTTTAAAGATTTTATTTTTTTCCTTTTTCTCCCCAAAGCCCCCCAGTACATAGTTGTATATTCTTCGTTGTGGGTCCTTCTAGTTGTGGCATGTGGGACGCTGCCTCAGCGTGGCCTGATGAGCAGTGCCATGTCCGCGCCCAGGATTCGAACCAACGAAACACTGGGCCGCCTGCAGCAGAGTGCGCGAACTTAACCACTCGGCCACGGGGCCAGCCCCGGAACGTTCGAACTTTTAACCGCTGCACTACACCGGCCCGGCCCCAAGACATCCTTTCTAACAGCTGTCTCAGCACCTACAAAGATCTGAGAACTGTATATTCATTCAATTATTTGAATGCCTGTTGCCTCAGTGTTTCAGGTGCTGAGGCGATAATGGTGAACAAAGCAGAGGTGGTCTCTGTCCTCTGTGTACTTTAGCCTTTACATTCAGGCTTTTTTTCAGGATAGCTTACTTGGGGTCTTGAATACTCGTAGAGGTGTGTCTGCCCTTGGGGTATATAGTAATAGAGCCAGGCACCTTTTCTCCTAGGCCTGCAGTCAAAGGGGAGAGAACTTTTTTTGATCACACACACGTGAGGATCTAGGGTGGACAGAAGGGAACTCTACTGACCTTTTCTCTCCCCTTCTAGGTACTGGAGATTGAGAGCAGTTGGCTTCTGGAGGTGGCTCCCCACTACTATAAGGCCAAGGAGCTAGAAGATCCCCATGCTAAGAAAATGCCCAAAAAAATAGGCAAGACACGGGAAGAGCTAGGGTAAAGAGGAGGGGACATAAAACAGAACCTGACACCAGCTCCTTTTCCTTCTGTACATTATTTAATATCTATTAATAAAAATATTTTTGGAATAAAGCTTGTGGGAACTTTTAGGATCCAGAGAAACTGACATGGAAATTCTCTCATATATTCACTTAAACTTTATTATTTACAAGTTAAATTACACAGCAGCTTTACACAGCATGAGATGGAAAGGAAGGAAAGAGAGAGAAGAGGGGAGGAAGCTGACTCCTGAGATTCTTGGCCGCCTCCACCTCCTCTTGTGCGTAGCAAAGTCTTCAGTGCTGTCTCCACCCCCGTTCCTGGATCAGGCCTCGGAACACAGGTGTAAATTGGGTTCTGGCTCTGACAGCCCCAGAGTCACCAGGGCTCCCACTAGCAGCTTCTTCACAGGTGTTGGGGGTGAGTGTGAAGGCATCAGCTGCAGGGAGAAAGGTTAGTGGCAACTGGTGGGATGTTCCACCCCTTGCCCCCACCCCCATCCAGTGAAAGGACTCACTTTGTCTAGGCGATGGCGACAAATGAGGCCGTCGGAATTCAGGTAGAAGGTGGAATAGGCATCGTAGGTCCTGGTGAAGGGAGAAGGTGAAGGTGACTGGTCCCAAAGTTTAAGTCAAGTATTTGTTTAGTAGTTCCTGAGCTTTGCCATAGATTAGATCACCTAAGGAACTTTACAAATCCCTGATGCCCAGGTTGCACGCTGTCCCTATTAAATCGTCTGGCACCAGTATTTTTTAAAGATCCTTAGATGATTCTACTGTGCAGCAAAGTTTGGGGACCACTGGTTTGGGCCATGCCTAACAACTTCTTGGGAGTCTACTCTGCCAGAAATTTACCAGCTACTTTACCTAAGGTTGTGGGGCTCACCTTAGAAAAGAGCAATTTTCATTTGTTCACTAAGTATTTGAGTACCTACTATGTGCCAGGTAACGTACATAAAGAAACTGAGTTCAGAGGTTTCCTAACATACTCAAAGTCCCTGTTTTTATTATATTAAAGTAGACTGAAACAAGATCCCTGCCCTCAAGGAACCTGCACTCAAGTCAGGGCAGATCAAGGACTGTCTGGGAGACTAGACCATCAGATTCCTAAAAAGGTAAGATTAGGAAATTGATTGTAGTGTGGGTCCTTTCTCATTTCTCCCTCACCGGTAAAGCTCTTCCTTGTCACGCTTGTAGAAACGTAGAAAGAGCAGGTGGATGGGCAGCCCCACGAGCCGCCAGCGGGCTTGCAGGGTCCAATTCTCAGGGTGACGGGTCAGCTGTAGAACCTCCAACCGAAGTTGTGCAAAATAGTTCCAGGCCAGGAAGCGGCAGAGGGTTAGGGACAGAATGTACCATGTCCTGCCCCTGTAAAGAAGGGATGGAAAAGAAAGCTCATGATGGCAGAATCAGAAAACCAAACTGGCCTCTGTTCGAGGAATGGGAACAGTTGTGAGGAGCAGGACCTTCTCCAGTTAGTGAAAAGGGTCAGGTATATAGCACTGGGTCCTTTTCCTCCCCAAGGCGTACCCGTGCCTGGATTCTCACTTGGTACGTATGTTCAGGACCTCATTGATGAATTCCACATCCGATGAGTAGAGAGTGTAGTCATGGGAGTGAAGGAAGAGATTGGGGAGCTAGGTGGAAGAAGGAGGCATCAGCCCAGTGGGAAAGAAAAGGTGATTCTATTCCTTAGTTCTCTATTTTTAGTGTCTCTTTATTCCCCTCCGAGTAAAAGGTCATCTCATCCCATGTTTAATTTCCCTTAAGCCAAACTGAGGAGCATTTTCCCCTTGGGAAATGTTTCTTTTTTCTTTTTTTAAAGATTTTATTTTTTTTCCTTTTTCTCCCCAAAGCCCCCCAGTACATAGTTGTATATTCTTCGTTTGGGTCCTTCTAGTTGTGGCATGTGGGATGCTGCCTCAGTGTGGTATGATGAGCAGTGTGCCATGTCCGCGCCCAGGATTCGAATCAACGAAACACTGGGCCGCCTGCAGCGGAGCGCGCGAACTTAACCACTCGGTCACGGGGCCAGCCCCGGGAAATGTTTCTAATGTATTTCTATGCCTGCCACATGGTTCCAAGAAAGAATCCAGTTGAACTAACCCCTCTATTTCCAAGTATTACCTATGTTCCTTCCCACTGTGGATGAAGGCCACTTCCAACTGACTTACCTCATGTCTCAGTCTCTCATACATGACAGCCAGGTGTTCTTCCATACTCGGATCTCCCGATGGAGTGGCAGGGGAAGGGCAGGCTGTCCCAGGGGCTCGGAAAGGTATCAAAGCCCCAGGATAGGGGCAGGGAGGTCCCTCAAATAGGCTTCTAAGCCCATCTAGGCAGCCACTATGCAATTCAGGTCCTGGTCCCTCCTCCCCCTTTCCTGGAGGGAGAACCACCCATGGTGAGCTGAGGGCCTTGATCTGAGGGAGAGGTAGTGGGGGAGCCGGGGGAAGCAGCCGAGGTGGGGGAGGTGGGGGTGGGGGAGACCAGAGGAGGAGAGGAGAAGCTGGAGAAATGGTGGTTGTGGAGTGGGGCCAAAGGGGTGGGAATGGTAGAGCCCGTGGAGAAAGCTGGTCCTAAGGAGGAACAAAAGGGAAAAAGATAAGAATTCAGCTGCGTGATGCCCCTTCATCCAAACTCTGCTCCTTAACGTGCTTCCAATTCCACTTGCTCCTTCTGACAGGAGAGATGGAATTAAAGGAAAAATGGGATGGGTTCATCTCCATCTCTACTGAAAACAGGTTAACAGTTTCCTATGATACGAGTACAAGTACTTCCCCAAAACATCAGCAAATACTTTTACATTTGTTTAAGATTTCAACATTGTTTAGGGACAGTTCCACCTCTCTCATAGCAAGAATCACAAGAATGCATATTTGAAGGATAAACGAATGAATAACAGGTTTTATTGTACTGCGGATGAAATGATGTGGCCTGGAACACAACTTCACGATTAAGTGTGTGAGGCAGATGTTGTAGAGAGAAAAGAAGATCCAGCTGGAACTAGGAGACGCTTCTTTGAGTTCCAATTCTATCATGTAACCTTAGGCACTCCCATTCTCCATGCCTGTTCCCTATAAATGTTCTCTTATAAATGAGGATGATGAAGCCACGCTGAGTTATTATGAGAACTATATGAGATAAGTGTAAATAAAACTTTGAGACCTATAAAGTAGTATATAAATGTAAGCTATTATCATTTCGGGCCCCTCTAATGACACAAACAAGCCCAGGAGACTGTAAAAGGCTGGACTTCATTCTCTCTGCTTTACCGACGTTGAAACTGCGATGAGGGCGAGGTCACCCAAGGCCAGGCCTGACCCAAGACCCTCCGCTCCCAAGGAACCGCCCGGGGTCTCCCGGAAAGGCGGGCGGCCGCGCGGGTACCTCTGTCCCCGACGGTGTCCCTGAGGCGCCGTCTCCGCCGGGGGCGTGGCCATCTTGCCCGCCCGGGCGCAGGGCCCCGAACCGGGTCCAACTGGGCCCGCCTTCCTGCCGGGACCGCTATCCGGTGCAAGATGCGCGGGCTGCAGAGCGCGGCTCGCAGGTCTGTTTGGTCGCGACCAGGGAATTCCGGGGCGGCGCCGCGGCGGGCTGCGAACCTCTCCGCCCCCTGCCCTTCAAATCACCTCCAGGCGCAGGTAACCGCCGGGACGCGGGCGAAATGCGAACGCGCCGCCCCAGCTTCCACCCCGCCTGCCCACGCCGGGGAACCACAGTCCCGACGCACCAAGGCCCTCAGGGCCGCCCTCGCGCGCCCGCGACCCTGGTCCCCTCCACGCGCCGCCCGGCACAGGTGGGAAGGGGCGGTGGGACGTCATTGCGCCTGCGCGGAACGGGGCGCGCGCTCCGCCCCACGCGCCGGCTCTGAGGAGGGTCTCTCCCCGCCCCCTCTCCTCCCCGCCCGCTTCCCCTCTGCTCTCACCTGGGGGAGCGCCTGGTAGGCACGGAGGCAGGGGCCGAGACGCCGGGCCGCCCCTCGGCCGGGCTGGTACATGATCTTCCGGGAGTGGAGAGAGCGCCTCCCGAGTCCGGCCTCCGGCCTCCTCACAGGGGTGAGCACGCCCTGGAGCCGGCTTCTTGAAGGGGAAAGGAGGGGGGGGTGAGGGGCTGAGGGGAGGCAAACGGAGATGTTGCGCGCTTGCGCACTGCAGGTTCCAGGGAGGCGAAGAGGCGATCGGGCTGCAGTCAGTGCGCCTGCGCTCGTCTGAGCGGAGGCTGCCTCAGAGCGCTTGCGCAGTAAATTAGCGGTCCAAGCACCGCTCTCAACTCTGCGGCGCTTGCGCAAAAAACTGGGCGATGATGGGGCTGAATCCGGTGCTACCAGAGTGAGGGGTGGGATTGAAATAATGACAATCAAGTTTTCCAGTAGCTGTCGTGATAAAAAATAAATACTTTTATTGTTCTGGTTAAAAATAAGATACAAATGATTTGGCGCTGATAAGAAAGCCTGTTGAATGAATGAATGAATACATCCATTATGAGAGGGGGCTTTGGCTGTCTCCTGTAGCGATAGAAATAATACTGACTTTGAAGGTGTGAGGGGGGCTGCGGTCACCAAGGCCTAGTGCTGCGACGTTCCTGCAAGTTTCGAATGAACCTGGCGTTGAACACGTCCCCACCCATTGTCCAGGACTGGGCTGGTGGGGCCTGGGCCTGTGGCGGAACTGTGTGCATGGGTTCCTCCCCAGACCCATCCTGTGACAAAACCTGCTCTTCATTGGCAGACCTGGTAGGTGGGAAGGAGATGGAGAGTGGGTTATAGGGGTACTAAAGTGGGAATTAAGATCATAGACTCTTCAAGGTCTTTTCTGGTCTTTCTGGCTCTTAATGCAGAGGACACACGATGGGGTATGAAGCTGGAACCATTAGTGCTATGTCCAAATTTGAAACCCCTCAGAGAGTGCTAAAGGGAAGCACCAGAGTTGAACCTATGGGGAAAGAGGCTTGTAGGATGTTAGCTAAAAGGATTTGTGGGAGGAGCTGGTGTCCAGTTCAAAGAGTAACATTTAGGAGGAGGAAGTAGCTGAGAGTGTTGTTAGGAAAGGAGTCAAAGGTGGTGTGAGGCTGATAGGGGAGGGGCTCAGACCTCACCTAGTCTCTGTTTCCTGTTCCCCCTGCTTCGATTCTTGGTTGCCTGTGGAAACACCAGGCATGTGATAGGAAAGCCGGAGCAGGTAGTGAATATGGCCTACTTGATTTGAGTGGGTAAGGAGGGATGAATACGTACCTGTGTTGGGGGATGAGGAATTCAACCCCCCATGGCGGCTGTAGCAGCAGCTTTGGGCTACCAGCCCTGGGGGAGTCCCCCTGCAGAAGAAATGGGCGATGATGGGGAAGAGGCTCCAGGATGAAGGATGAGTGGGTATGGAGGAATCAGAGGAGAGGAATAAAAGGAATAGCACAGGAACAAAGAGGAGGGGTAGTTATCCCTCCTAAGGGGTTTTAATCTAAGCTCTGCCCCAGAAAAGGAGACGGAGCTCATTTTATACTCTGAGATTTACTGGAGGAGTCCTGATTTGTTGCTTTATTATTTCTAGTTGAGGTAATGTGTTAAAAGTAAGGCCAAATGTGATCCAAATCATGTCATAAAAACAGACTCACATACAGGCAAAAAAGAATTTGTTAGACTGGGTGCGCCCTCATATTTGGTTTGGAAAACATGGTTACCTTAATTATAGGATACCTAAGACCAGAGGGAAATAGGGAGTGGCAAGGCCGAATTTAGGAAGAAAAGGAAGGGAGCCTTTGGAGGATAGGTAACTGTGTTAAACTTTCAACCTAGTAAGGGATTGTCTTGAGACAGAGATCCAAGGGTTTAGTGGGAGAGAGGGCAGAAAATCAGAATGGGAAGAGGAATCCAGGGAACAGATGGGAGGCAATTAGTGGATCCCAGAGAGGTTGGTAAATCTTGACATCTCAGCAAAGTCTGGCCTAGGGTGAAGGGTAGAAGTCACTGGGGAGAGCTGGAGGTTTCTGGAGGGAATGGGGGAGTAGATACAGAAGCCTACACAAAGGGATCCAGTGACTACATGAGGAGTCAGAATCTGCAGGAGAAGATCCAGCAATGACAATGGGGATGGGTAGACGGCAGATCCTGCAAGGGGAGCTCTGAGACTCCTTGCGAGAAGATCTGCAGATCTCAGAGGTGAGAAAGATGAGAGGGACAGAAATCCTGAGATCCCAGGAAAATAAGGGGTGACGCACAAATGAGGCTGAGACCTTAAGTTTGTTTTTTTTTTAGTGTTTTTTTTCATTGAAAATGTCCATTTAAAAAACACAAAAGAATTCACACTTTATTCAGACAACACTGAGAGGGAGAAGAAAAAGGAGGAGTGAGTCGGGAGAGAGGGAGATCCTGCTCCCAAGGATTTGGGGAACACACTAGGCAGTGGAGGTACCTGGTCTACCACACACTCAGAGGGTAGGGAGGGGGTACGGAGCAGGGAAGAAGGTTCTTGCTAGGAGGAAAGAAAAAAGGAAGGCCAGAGGAAGAGTTCCCCCATCTTCTCAAGACAACCTCACAAGACAGGAAATATCAGCATCTAGCTACTGGGGAGGGATGGATGCAAGAGGGGATTCTAGGAGCTAATAGATCCTTGAGACTCAGGTTTATTTTCTGAAACATGGCTAAGAGTGATCCCACGGTGCTTGCTGGGATCTACTGCCAAGAAACAAACTCCTTCATAGAATCTGGATCTGGGGGAAGTGGCGGTGTCTCTAGAAGTGTGGCAAGTCTTTAGAGCCCCAAAGCAGACATCAGCTTGGAGGTTCCCCGATACATACGCATACACAAAACGTGGAAATTAAGAGTTTGGCAATGTTGAGTGGATCCCTTTGGGGAGCTGGTAAGTCCCTATCCTACCTAACTGGACTGCTCTGAAGCAGAGCTCATTGGTCAGCATCAGCAGGCTCAAAGGGGAAGGGTGGTAGGCAGCACAAAGCAGCATTAGAGCCACCAGCAGACACTGTAGAGGGAATGTGGGAGTTCTTCCATGGACAAGACTCCTTAAAAGGTTTCCCTGGCAGAGGAGGCCCTTGGACCTTCCACGGTGTTCTAGAATCTAACAGCAAGCAAGAGTGTGCTTCTCTGGATAATTAGCATGAGCCACCCAACCAAGGGGTCTGGCAGCGAATAGGGCTATCTGTTCAGAGAGGGTTCAGAGCCCAAGTTAGGAGAGAAGGGGTGCTTTCTATGGTAAGAAAAGCTACAAAGTATTAGGTTATCTGGGACCCTGACAACGCAGTTGTCTAAGAAAGGGGAAGAGGGAATCCTATGGATTCTGTCAGGTTCCACTGGATCCTGGGGGACGTAATGGAAGAGTGGGTCTGGGGTTTTCAGGGAAAGGGGTCTTTGCCCCGCTAGGTCTCCCAGGGAGGAGAGGGGGTTAGCTGTCTATCAGTATCGACTCTCATCAGACCGGGGAAGGGAGCTATGGAAGGATGTTATGGACAGGAGGAAGGGAGAGGGAAAATGGGGGAGAGAGAAAAACAGAGAAGTCAGAGGTGAAGAGAAAGCTAGGGAGAGATATAAAGGAGATGCCCACTCTGCTTGCTGGGATGGACTCCTGCCACACAGGCCCTGACCTGGGCCAAGTGGCTCCCCAAACTGTCAGAGACACTGCCCCCTCCCAGCAATTATTAAGCCAAGATTTCCCCAATCTTAGAGGCTCAGCTCCCCTGCAACCAATGGATCTGTGTTCTTCTTACCCATCCTCCCAACTCTCACTTTAACTAGAGTCCCCAGACTCCATATAAAGTCCTATTCAGCTCCTTCACTGTAATTTATTTCCAGACCACGCCCACAAATATTTTCCAATATATTCTTCTCAAAAGGTTTCAGGACCTTCCAATCCACCTATCCTATTGCTTCCTGTCTCTGAGGGATTCAAATTGCCCTCTGCCATTTCTAACACCCTCTCTGACAGTCTTGAGTCTTCCTAACCCTCCAACTCTATTACCTGGTGCGGCGACGTTGGGCTGGGCTGCCCCCAGGGTCGGTAGCCAGCAGAAGGCGGGCGGTAGGGTGTGGGGGGCAGAGGCGCAGGGAACGCAGCAGCTCCTGCTCTGGTACAAAGGGACGGAGGGGACCCCGTTCTGGCGAGTTTCCCAGGCTGCTGGAGCGGGGGGGTGGGTGGGCTGGAGGTGTAGCACGGCGAGGAGCCCTGTTTAGGGGCCAAGGAGGCTCCACAGCTACCTTGAGAACTGGGGAGAGGGAGAATAAAGAGCAAGAGAGAGAAAGAAGAAAAAGGAGAAGGAAGGAAGAGAGTCATGACAGCAAAGATTAGGGGTGAAAAAAGAAACCAGAGCCTTTAGAGAGAACTAATCCTTCCCCTGGGTTCAGGTCCCCCAGGCCCAGACACCCTACCCCAGTCTTACATTCTCGGTCACTAGAGGAGTATGGCTTAATGTCTCCCTCTGCTCTCTTGGGTGGCAGCTTCCTTGCTGGAGCTGGCAGTGGAGAGGACACAGGCAACGTAAGCATTAGGAGACATACTTTGTACCCCTCCTCCCGGCCACTCCCCCCACAACCCCAAACCTCTGCTCCCTGACACCACATTTCCTCCCGGAGAAGGAGAGTTCAGCTCCATCGCAGAAGCAGCTCTGTGGCAATGCCATCACAACAAAAGGGAGTTCAGGGGGAATGCTGGGGCACTTTTAAGGAGAGCCAGAAGGAGTAGGCCAAATGCAGAGGTAGGGGGAAAAGATCCAGGGTGAGACTCCGGGGCCTGGGAGGTGCAGGAGAAGGGTGGCCAAGGGAGGCAAGCTCTTACTGTCAGTGGGTGCTGTCATGCCCCCCTGGGATTCGGGGGCAGTGGAATGGTCCCAGCTGGGCCACCGAGGACCCCAGGTCCCTCTAGATGAGATGGACAAAGCCCTTGGTTAATCAGGAATTACTGTGGAGAGGTCAGGGGAGGTTGGGGTGGGGCAGAACCTCTCCTTTTGGTACAAAGATGGGAAGAGATTTAAGTTTTATTAGGGGGAAAAAAAAAAAGGATGAGGAGAAAACAGACATCTGAAAAGGAGTTACCAGAGTAAATGGGAGGCTAACATATTGTCCAAAGTTCTGCCTGCCGTCTGCTCACTTCTCTACCTGTGCTCCCTCCCCTCCCCTCTCAAGAGGTTCTCTGTCATGTGTGGCAAATGAGAGCGTTCTCAGCAAATCCACGTAAGCTTTATCCACAGTCCCCTTCCCTGTGGACCTGAGTCCTCACCGTCCTTGTTGGCTCTCACTCTCTCACAGCCTGTAGGTAGGTGAGCAGGAGCGAGATGGGGAAGCCTTGGAAACCAAAGTGAGTCATGGATATGAACTGCCTCACAGTGCCTGACACTGGCTGAAGGAAATGACTGGTAACAGACTCTTCTTTGGGAAGAGCTGAGAGCTAGCCACAAAGCCAGCTCAGGAAGGCGGCCCTCCTGAGCAAGCATGCAGTGCACGGCAGCAGCAGGCTGTGCTTCCCCACCTTTGGGAGGCAGTGAGGAAGAGCGAGGAGTGGGGCTCAGACTGGCAGGGAGTGTGTGTGTATGAGGGTGGAATGGGAAACCTGGGCAGCATTTCATTCCCTCCTAGGTTTGATGTCTCCAGATCAATTTGATTATTTGGTCGGAAATGTTACAAATTCTGAGCATTATCTTCTAAAACTAATATTTAAACTTTGAACTTTCATATTGCTATTCTATGACTCGAAACGAAAGGGATGACTTTCCCTCACAGAAACCTGAGGGGTTCACAAAGGAATGAGATTCTGTCATCAAACAGGCTCTCAATGAGCATGCTTAGTTAAAAGTCCTGACAAGTAGGAAATGTACTGAGGTCCCACAAGGGCAAAGGCAAATGGGTAACGACTGCTGGAGACTTGGGTTGCTTTAGAATTCTCCCAAACTGCCCACAGATCGCACTGTGCTCTCCGTGGCCTCCAGAGTAACTAGCCATCATGGCACTACAGTTCCGCCCATTCAATGCAGCTTTACCAGCGGGCGTAGGATCGACTGCAGCAGCACGAGAGTGTCGAGTTGCCCTCAGAGAGGGAGCAGGGGGCCCTGTGAGGAAGGAAGTGGTGGTGTCCCTCAGTGAGGGGGCCAGCAGGACCAAGAATCCACCTCTTTCCTTCCCCTCACCCCAACTACTTGACCAAACACACAAGGTGAGAAAACTTACGATGCTGATGGGCAAAGAAGCCTTCGAAGATCACAAAGTTGTTCACCTATAAGATGAAACAAGCAAGACAGAGTTGTCCATTCAGCCACTCAACATACTTGGGTAGAGAACCCTGTGTTAGAAAAACCACAGTTGGGGAGCTGGCCTGGTGGTGCAGCAGTTAAGTTCACACATTCTGCCTGGGGTTCAGCAGTTCGGATCCTGGGTATGGACCTATGCACTGCTTGTCAAGCCATGCTATGGCAGGCGTCCCATATAGAAAGTAGAGGAAGATGGGCACAGATGTTCGCTCAGGGCCAGTCTTCCTCAACAAAAAGAGGAGAATTGGTGGCAGATGTTAGTTCAGGGCTAATCTTCCTCAAAAAAAAAAAAAAAAGATAATAAAAAAATAAAAAGAAAAGAAAAACCACAGTGGGAGGAACAAAAGCCAGCCTTCCTGTCCTTGTTGGTAGATTTAGTCAAAAACTCAGATCCTGATAAGCTGATGCTAAAGTTGATTACAGAATTGCAAAGGACATCAAATAGCCAAAACAATCTTGAAAAAGAAGATAGGATTCACACTTCCTGATTTCAAAACTTACTACAAAGCTATGGTAATCAAAATATGTGTAGAGGCATATGGATAGACATATGGACTAAGGGAATGAATAGAGTCCAGAAATAAACCCATGTGTCTATGGTCAATTGATTTTCAACAAAGGAGCCAAGACCATTCAACAGGGAAAGAACAGTCTCTTTTAACAAACGGTGATTGGACAACTGAATATCTACATGCAAGATAATGAATTTGGACCTCTACCTCACATCATAGGCAAAAAATAACTACAAATGGATCAAAGACCTAAATGTAAGAGCTAAAACTATGCAACTCTTAGAAGGAATATAGGGGAAAATCTTTATGACCTTGGGTTAGGCAATGGTTTCTTAAATATGACACCAAAAGCACAAGCAACAAGATAAAAAAATAGATAAATAGGACTTCATTGAAAGTAAAAACTTTTGTGCTTCAAATGACGCTATCAAGAAAATGAAAAGACAACCCACAGAATAGGAGAAAATATTTGCAAATCATATATCTGATAAGGGTGTTGTATCTAGAATATATCAAGAACTCTTACAAGTCAAGAACAAGGAACACAATTAAAAATGGGCATGGGGCCAGCCTCGTGGCTGAGTGGTTAAGTTCCTGCACTCCGCTGCAGCGGCCCAGAGTTTCACTGGTTCGAATCCTAGGTGCAGACGTGGCACCGCTCATCAGGCCATGCTGAAGTGGCGTCCCACATGCCACAACTAGAAGGACCCACGACTAAGAATATACAACTATGTACCGGGGGGCTTTGGAGAGAAAAAGGAAAAAATAAAATCTTAAAAAAAAAAAAAAAAACTGGGCATAGGCCTTGGGGCTGGCCCGGTGGCGCAGCAGTTAAGTTCGCACGTTCCGCTTTGGCGGCCCGGGGTTCGCCAGTTCAGATCCCAGATGAGGACATGGTACTGCTTGGCAAGCCATGCTGTGGTAGGCGTCTCACATATAAAGCAGAGGAAGATGGGCATGGATGTTAGCTCAGGGCCAGTCTTCCTCATCAAAAAGAGGAGGATTGGCAGCAGATGTTAGCTCAGGGCTAATCTTCCTCAAAAAAAAAAAAAGGGCTTAGGACTTGAATAAGCATTTCTCCAAAGATGATATACAAATGGCCAATAAGCACTTGAAAAGATGCTCGAGCACAACTAGAAGGACCTACAACTAAAATGTACAACTACATACTGGGGGGATTCGGGGAGGAAAAAAAGCAGGGAAAAAAAAAAAGATTGGCAACGGTTGTTAGCTCAGGTGCCAATCTTTAAAAAAAAAAAAAAAGATGCTCAACATCATTAGCCATTAGGGAGACGCAAATCAAAACCACAAAGAGATACCACTTAACACCCACTAGGATAGGTCTAACAACAACAACAACAACAAAATAACAAATGTTGGTAAGGAAGCTGAGAAATTGGAATCCTAGTACTGTTGGTAGAGATGTAAAATGTTGCAGTCATTGTGAAAAAACAGTTGCTCAGTTCCTCAAAAAGCTAGACGTTGAATTACCATGTGACCCAACAATTCCACTCTTAGTTACATATCCAAGAGAAATGGAAATATATGTCCAAACAAATTGATATATCCATATAATGGAATACTATTCAGCCATAAAAAGGAATGAAGTAGTGACACATGCTACAACATGAATGAAGTCCCTGAACATTGTGAAAGGGAAAGCCAAACACAAATGCCACATATTTTATGATTCCATTTATATAAAATGTCCAGAGTAAGCACATCCATAGAGAGAGTAGAGATTAGTGGTTGATAGGGACTGGGGGAAGAGGAAGAGGGAGTGGCTGCTTAATGAATACTGGGTTTCCTTCTGGGTGATAGAAAGGTTCTGGAATTAGACATGGTGATAATTGAACAACATTGTGAATATCCTAAAAACCGCCTAATTGTATATTTTAAGTAGTTAAAATAGTGAATTTTATCACAAAAACAAAAAACCCAGTCCCTACTTTTAAGTTCTCCAGGACCCAAGCTCATAGAGACACAGTGTACAAAACATCAAGGAGGGTAAGGCCTCCAAACTGTCAAAACAACTTCAAAACACATGAAGAAGGCCAAATGGCTCAAATATACAAATACTGAGAAAAACAAAGATTTAAGCAGGGTTCACACAGTGGGGCCAGTCGAGGAAGACATGCTGAAGGATGGGCGGGTCACTTTGATAACGAGTCATGGATAGAGTGATTTCATTGTATCATCACATTCAATTTGGCCACCACCACAATCTTTGGAGTCACTACAGTCATGTGTTGCTTAACGACAGGGATACATCCTGAGAAATGCGTTATTAGGCAATTTTGTTGTCGTGTGAACATCACAGAGTGTACTTATACAAACCTACATGGTATAGCCTACTACACACCTAGACTACATGGTACTAACCTTATGGGACCCCCATCATATATCTGGTGTGTCATTGACCAAAACATCGTTATGCGGTGTGTGATTGTATTTTAAAGAAGAGTAAAAAAAGGCTTGGAGACATGACTTGCCCAAAGCCAAGTAGCTACAAATGGCAGAGCTTGGCCTCAAGCCCCTGACTCCTGATTCTGGCTGTAGTGTTTCAGCTAGGAATACAGTGTAGTCATTAAGAGTGGGCTATGGGTTCAAATTTGAGCTCCACCACTTACTAGCTATGTGAAGTTGGTCAAGTCACTAATCTGTATCTACCCAAAAAGAGCTCAATAATAGCACCTACCTCAAAGAGATGTACAAGGATGCACTGAGAGGATGCATGCAGATACCACACAGAGCTCATGGAACAGTCATTGCTTGCACTCTACGCTGCTCTGGTCCTACACGTTACCTGGGTAATGCATTTGATGTCAAATCCTATGCTCCCTCCACTGCTCTCTGCTGCCTCTTACTGGAAAACTGTACCGTGAGAGGGCATTCTGAGCAGACTCTGCCTATCTCCTGTCTTGATCCTGCTGTAATGTCTACCAGCCCATCCTCATCCTCTCCCAACAAGCACATGCCCAGCATTTCAGCCACACAAAACTGCTTGCAGTGCCCTGAAAGGTAGTTTAATAGCTCTCTGCCTTTGCTCATGCTGGCTCCTCTACATGAAAAGCACTTCAGCCCACCCACTTATGTCCTCCTGATAAACACTAACGTTTCAAGAATAAACATAAGTCAAGCCTTTCTTTACTCAACCCAAACCTAAACGTAGTGCTCACCACCACGTCCTTAAGCCACCTGTGTAAGCATGTCAATCAAATCTTGTTACAATGGATTAACTGTCCATGCTCCTATCCAAGCTAACTTGTCAATTAAATCCCAACCCCTCCCACCCACTCAAGGACACTGCGACAGCAATTCTCCCCACTTTCGCTGACATCATCAAATTTTCTCTCTACTGAATCATTCTTAGGCTATTAGTTCTTCCAAATGAAAACAATCAATCCTTTCTTGATCCACTTCCCTCTCCAGCTCTTACTGTATTTCTCTGTTCCTCTTAAAGCAGCATTTATAAGACTGGCCTATTCTTGCTGTCTCGAGCTCCTAGCTTCTCAATCTCCTAAACCCACTCCATCCAGGCTTCCACCCACCACTGCACCAAAACTGCTTGTCAGGATCACAAGTGGCTTCACGCAGCTAAATCCGACAGTCACTTCTCAGACGTCTTCTTACTTCACTCATCAGTAGCATTTGACTCAGTAAGCTATTCCTTCCTCGAGGAAACACTTTCTTCACTGGTCTTCCAGGTCACCTTTCTTGCAAGTTTTCATCTACTTCACCAATCCTTGGTCGGATTTGCTGGTTCTGCTTTTTCTCCCTGACTTCTTAAAAGAGTGCCCAAGTGCCAAGGGCTCAAGTCCTTGGACCACTTCTCTCTCTGTACTCACTCCTTGGTGATCTCATCCTGTTTCACTGCTTCCAATACCCTGTGTATGCTGAAAACTCTCCATCCCAAACCTCTTCTCTGAACTCCAGAAACGGACCTGTCTACTCAACCTGGACTCATCACAGACATCTCCAGTCAGCATCTTCAAAACAGAATCCTACTATTGCCACCAAAGCTGCTCCACCTACCATCTCAGTTAATGCAATGCCATCCTTCCAACTGCTCAGGCCAACTTTGGGATCATTCTTAACTCTCTCCCTCTTTTTCTCCACATACAATCTATCAGGAAATCTTACTTGCTTTAACTTCAAAATATTTAAAATTTGACCACTCCTTACCATCTCTACTGCCACCATCCTGGTCTGAGCCACTACTATTTTTCATCGGGATTGTTGTTTCCTAACTGGTCTACTTGCTTCTACTCTTGCTCTCCTACTGCCTGTTCTTAAGAGACAAAGTGGTCTTGTTAAAACCTAAGTCACATCATATCATCCCTCTGCTCAGACCCCTAGGATGGTGCTCCTCTTTTCACGTAGAGTAAAAGTTAAAGTCTCTGCAACAGCCTATAAGGCCCCAAATGTCCTTGCTCCCCCATTACCGCTCTGATCTCATCTACCACACCTACTCCCCAACTCATGCTGCTGGAGCCACACCAGCCAATTCACTCTTCCAGGCACACTCTTGCCTCACGCCCTTTGCACCAGCCGTTCCCTCTGCCAGGGATGCTCTCCCTCCAGACATTAGTCGGCTCTTATTCACACCTCCTTTAAGTTATTGCTCAAATAACACTCTCAGTGCGGCTCCTCTGCTTATCCCATTTAAATTTGCAATCCACACACTCCCTTCTCCACCATGGCACTCCCAAGTCCTCTCACGGCCTCTCATTTTTCCAGAGCACTCATCGTCAACTGTAGTACATACTTATTTATGTTTGTCTGTCTCCCCAACTAGAATATAAGCCCCACAAGGGCAGAGACTTTGATCTGTCTTGTTAAGTATTCCTAGGGCCCAGTACAGTCCAATGTGCTCAGTAAGCATTTGTTGAATGAATGGATAGCATTTGTAACATTATATTGCATTTACTTATAAACAAATCACCTTCCCCACAGTAGACCAAAGCTCCCTGAGAACAGGAAATGTATTTTATTCTGGGCCCTTAATAAATGTTAACTGACTAAGCAATGGCCTGTGTGAAAACAAGGAGGTGACAATGAGTTGGTTATGTGTGGGGCAAGAACATATTATTACGTGTACAGAACGGCCCATGATGAAGAATCAAAACAGATGAGAGTTGCAGGATGAGAAATAGTACCACAAAAAAAGAAAGAAAGAAAGAAAGAAAGAAAGAGCTTAGTTGTATAAAATGAATCCTGTATAATGGAGAATAAGGAGCGCTTGAAAGGTGCCACTTTTTTGCCCCCAAATAATAAATAAATTCAATGGGAATGCTCAGTGGGGATCTACCCTCTGAAACCTCTAACCTGTGGGACTGTGGTCTCCAAGCTGTAGTGTTTATTCAGGAACTTCAGCAGCTTCTGTGAGGGTCGGTCAATGGCCAGTTGGTGTGGTTCAACTCGCTCCTTCTGCAGGGAACAGGAGATTCAGGTAGGGGCAGGGGTGGGGAGAGCATACCAAAGAAACCCAGGAGCTGGGAAGGGAATGGAAGCATATGGGAATATGGGGGGTGGGAGGCAGGGCCTCTGGAAGGGCTCAGGGCAAAGGCGCCTGTGATCTCCATTTTGGACATAAGTGAAGAGATAAGTGATACCTGCAACATATACTGGAAGAGTTCTCGCCCATGGCCATGGCGTTGAACGGACTCATGGATGTAAAAGTCCAGGATGCAAAGTGGTTCTACTTCATTGTGAGCCTCACGATCATCCTGGGATAAAGAACAACAAATATCTTTAAGGACCCACCTCCCAACCTCCAGCAATTTTGTTCTCAGGAGTCAAGGCATATGAACTCTCAGCTTCCAATAACACTCACCAATACAAAGAGTTTCTTATATCCAACTTTGAGGAAGCCAATAATGGCTCCTTTTCCAGCCCTGCAGGATGGGGAAAATAATAAACAAGCTAGTAGCAGAAGAAGCAGAGTCAAAAAAATGGGAGAGGGACTGGGGAAGGAAGGAATTAAGTACGAGACTTAAAAAGAACATTTGGCACTCACGGTCGAGCTGAAGTGTCTTTGAGCACATACATAACATGGCGGTTACTCTGCATCCTCGATGCACTGGTGATGGGAGCAGGAAGATGCTGGGCCTGCGGGAATGTGAAGAGAGACTTTCTTAAGTCTCTTCCAAAGAACTCAGGCCTTCCTTGTCTACTGTCCCCAGAGAGGCCTCCCTTTACTCCCTCTTAGGACTCCCCAATACCTTGGCAGAAGCCTTGCCCAATTCATCTACAATGGTCATAATTTGCTGCTGCAAATCAACACTATAGAAAGAAAGGAGATAAAGAGTCAGATTTGCACTGAATTAGAGGGTCCTGAGCAATCACTCGCTGGGAACCTGGGCTACAACCCCAACCCAGGTTTAGCACTGAAGACTCTCTGACTTTACCTTGGAGTCTTCCGCTCTGATTTTCCACTCCACCCCTCTGGAACCCAAAGTTTTGCCACATATCCTTTCAATGTGGTACACTCCCTCCTCCCTTAAGGTAAGCCCGGGTCAACCACATCCTTTGGTTGGGACCACATATTGGGCCAAGTGGTGAAAGGTCACATATCCAAGAGCCGATCAACCCACTAAGTCTAGGGTCAAAGGTCACCAAAAGGGCGAGCCAGGACGTCAAAAGGAGCGGCCGTCACTAAGAAGGGGGCGTGGTGCCTGGACCAGGTTTCGAGAGGAACGGGGAGAGAAGGGCCATGGGGCGGGTTTGAGATGTCACCGGGCCGGCGTTGTGGTTCCGGGTCGGCGGGCCGGGGGCCGCAGGTGCTGGTCCAGCACCGTGATCCGCTCCGGGAGCAGCGCGTCCACATCGAACGGGAACTCCATGGCCCATTGTGCGCGGCCGGGCCCGCCCCACGCGACGTCACTTCCGCCCCTCCCTCGCCGCCCCGCCCTGCGGAGCCTTTATTTCCCGGCGCGTGCGGTGGGGCCCAGGGACCCGCCCCGCGGGGCCGCCTGCTCCTGCCACCCGCCAGTGCCCTGTCGGCCGACTCCGGAGACCCTGTTCTTCTTGCTAGACCAGCTGTCCCTTAGCAACGCCATTCTCCCTACCCCCGCCTCCCATGGCAGTAGATGCCACAGCAACGCATTTTTCCTAGGCCTAGTTGTCTCATTCCAGTCCTTTAGCCCCTCACTGAACAGCTGGGTATGGTGGGAACACTGCGTCGGGCACAGGGGGCCACTAGTGTAATTATGACAGAATGGCACAACTGCCCATCCCAGGTGGCTTCTTGTCCCAAGAGTCACTGGCCAGGCTGTCTCAAGCCTGACTATTCCTTTCCCCACAACAGCACCCATTCCCCCCAAACAATGGAATTCATCTGAAAGTCAACCCAGAGGCAGGAGACACAGTTTTATTGTGGAAAAGCCGAGATGGGAGAAGTCTGAAACACCGACAGAATATTTAGCCCATCTATTTACAATACATAGGAGTTGGGGGTTCCCATGCACATCTGTATCGCCCTCCCTCAGCCTCGGATGTAGTTATCCCCTTTAACAATCATTTTCTTTCTCTGGCCCTGGGCCTGCCATTGGCCACAAAATAGACACAACTTTTCAGGGTGAAATCTCATCACGTAATTCCTAGGCACAATCTCCTAATCCCTGCCCAGTCTACAGCTCCTATAGAGCCCTCTGGGGGCCTGCCTGCTCAGTGGAGGAGCCTTCAGCTAGGGTTGTGAGGGGAACCTCGGGCATTGATTCAGGTGGGGGGCCACTCTCTTCTCGGACACGGCCCTGATAGAGCCGGCGAAGGCGGGACAGCTCTCTCTCTGGTGGCTGTTTCCAGCTGTACCACGGGTACCAGGGGTCACCTGAAACCAGGGTGGGGGCTGGTGGAATAGCACTCACAGCTCCATGAGAGGTACTGAAGTCAAGGTCCCGCGGTTCAACCAGGGGAACGTGGTAACTGAGGAGACCTAGGGGATTAAAAAAGAGAAAGCAAGGAGGAGTAGTTAAGATTAAGGCAGTAAGGAAAATGACTTATAAAGGGAAGGAGGGACCAGTCAGAGCCACTGTGTACATTTATGTATGTTGTACACTATAGAAAAGCAACTGGCCAAGGGAGCAAGTGTGGGCTGACATACTGCCTGGGCTCTTGCCTGCACTAAGGCTATGAAGCTGCATCTGCCCTAGTGGAGGGGCACCTTTTTCGAATTTGTGCAAAGGTGTCTTGGAGCCCATGGCCAGAAATTTATACAAATATCATTCTGTGATCTACCTATGGCACTGGGACCAATAGTTATAAAACAAGAGGGAGAAGAAAGGAAAGAGGGGCCAGCCCCATGGCCTAGTGGTTAAGTTTAGAGTGCTCTGCTTCAGCAGCCTGGGTTCGGTTCCTGGGTGCAGACCTACAATGCTTGTCAGTGGCCATGCTGTGATGGTGACCCACATACAAATAGAGGATGATTGGCATGGATGTTAGCTCAGGGAAAATCTTCCTCAAGCAAAAAGAGGAAGACTGACAACAGATGTTAGCTCAAGACTCTTTCTCAGCTTGGGAGGGGGAAGGGGGGAGGGAGAAGGAGGGGCCAGCCCCGTGGCCGAGTGGTTAAGTTTGTGTGCTCTGCTTCAGCGGCCCAGGGTTTTGCCAGTTCGGATCCTGGGCGCAGACCTAGCACTGCTCATCAAGCCATGCTGAGGCAGTGTCCCACAAAGCACAACCAGAAGCACCTACAACTAGAATATACAACTATGTACTGGGGGACCTTTGGGGAGGAGAAGAAGAAGAAAAAAAAAAGAAGATTGGCAACAGATGTTAGTGCAGGTGCCAATCTTTTAAAAAAAATACGCCAATGCCCTGGGAGAGGAAACTTGAGTATTAAAAAAAGAGAAGGATAAAGGAGGAACAAGGGGACAAGGCAATGACAACGTAAGAGAGTCAGGAGAGGGAACAAGGGACAGTGAAGTGATGAAAGAAGAGTATCTCGGGAAGAATATGTTGGGTGTTACCTTCTCAGATAGGTAAGAACATTTACATCCACCCTCTAGCCCTAAGCCACCTTCTCCACATCTATCAAAACTGCCCTGTGCCCCTTCTCATGCTTACCATGATCCCTGGCTTTCTGGATGGCTTCGGTCAACTTCTTGTGCTGCTTCATACAGACCCCTGTAGGGAGAAAAAAGGTAACTCAGTGCTCCTTCTATGAGACACGGTAAATAAAGAACACAAGTGTTTCTATATGGTGACAGAGAGCTGGATTTGGAACACCTGGCTCTACCTAATGACCCCATTCTCCTGAGCCCTCCATGGGCCTCAGCCTCCCCACCTGCCTAATGGGAACCTGCCTAATGGGAAGAATCCTCTCTCTCTCTCTCTCAGAGCTGGGATGAAGACTTGGGAGGGTCTAGCCACTACAGAGAAGCCATTTAATAGTAAAGACTCCAAGACAGGAAGTGGAACATAATTCAAAGGGAAGGTGTGGTTAATTAAAGGGTTGAGTCAGATAACCCACAGAAAAAGATTCAATAAAAGAAGAAAGGATTTCAGATCCGGGGAAAGTGATCTGAGAGAGTAGCAAAATAGTCCCTTCAGGCTTTTACAGCCTGATTATAAAACTCTCTGACAAACCGAACTCCACTGAACATGCTGCCACCCTCCAAATGGTGGATTCAGATTATCCTTTGCAAATTGATCTTGCTTTAGAGCAGAGGCTGGCAAAATTTTTCTGTGTACGGCCATATATTTTAGGCTCTGCAGGTCCTATAGTCTCTGTCTCAGCTACTTGACTCTGCCATTGTAGCCTGGAGGCAGTTGTAGACAATATGAAAACAAATGGACATGGCAGCAAGCTAGATCTGGCCTGTGGTTGTAGTTAAGGAATAGATATAATCTTGAATTGTTAAGATAACAATTCCAAATTTGGGAAATCTAATTGAATTGTCAGTGGTATAAATGCACTGACGTGTGACAGTCAATTTTTGAGAGCCTTTTGTAAAAGTGAAGTAATGCTATGGAAAGAAAATAATGACCACCATTTATCTTTTAAGAGTTACAGTTAGATCGTTTGCTTACATTCGTACCTGCCTGTATCTTTGGTTCACATATTAGCATATAAGTATCCCCATTAAGCCAAGACTTCCACAAAGTTCAATCACCCTCTTCATGCCATAGTAGGAGCCACCAAATACCTGCTGTCTGACTGACTAAATGAGAAGTGCTCCAAGGAAAAGCTATTCTGCTGGTGTCAGGGATGACGGGCTAACCTGTGTATGGAGCATGGAAGATGATGCCCGTGTGGGCGCAGACAAACTGTTCCAAGAGCTTCACGTTCTGTGGGGGAAAGTGGTAGAGAAACATGAGAGAGGGAGGGGAGAGCAGTAAGACCTTTAGAGACTGAAGGTGCACAATCCCTACACACCCACATGACAACCAGAATCCCTCTATGTCTTTCCAGATGCTACCCTCCTTCACGTCCCAGTTTTAGCGCCATCACTTGACTGAACACATTCTTGAAACCTCCAGCAAACTTTCCCCCTTTCCCGGCCTCTCAACCCTTTGACATGTACACCTTACATTCTGTCATTGAGACTCACATAGAATTCTCTTCTTCAGGGGTTAGGTTCTAAAATCAGCCCTTCATGCAAAAAACTGGGGACTGTCAGTTGGCAATTCCTGATATCACCCAGGAAATGTAGTATATGTTGTAATATGAATGTATAAATGATTAATGTATATAATAGCATGCTGTACGTAATATATGTATTTATTAAGGTCAATTTTACGGTTTTAATTATGTAGAATGACTCTCAGCCAGCAAGTTAATCACAGGAGGTGAGACCCAAGGAAAAAGCAGGTACACTTGTAGAGTGGAATGGCAGGCAGATTCATCTGAACTATTCAAGTTGTAATCTTTCTCTCTCCCTTGGTTATGTAATTGATTATAAACGATATACTCAATTGGTTATAATCTCTTTTTATATCCAGTCGTACACAGTTGAAATCGAGAAGTTATCTATTAGACTTCTCTACAACCTGTGTCAGAAGGGGCCTGAGGGCAGTCGGACATCCCCACCCTCTGACTGACAGATGAATGCCCTCCAACTTTCCTGATGACTATCCATTCAACTTCTGCGCTAACCCCTTCACTGCATGCTCAGAAGAGCATTTTCCCATTTTCATTTTTATAAGGTTTCTGAAGTCTTTAAGGAGCAATTCCTGTCCTCCTCATGATGAAGCCTTTTTGAAAAAATAACTAGACTCTATACCTTGCTTCATGTATCTGCCCTCCAGCCCCAAGTCTCAGGACACACCAAACATCAACATGATAAAATAAGAAAACCTCAGGAAAAAACTAGCCCAATCTACTTGCTAATAATTGTGATGGCTATAAATGAGCTTTGGGCATTGCTTTCCCATTAGAAATAGGCATTTTTCCTGCCTGCCAACTTACACTGTAAATTTCATAGTTAAGGGATGAAGCTTTTTAGTATAACCCACAGTAGAGGGCAAAAGGATGGAGGAAAAGTGAAGTAATGCTATGGAAAGAAAATAATGACCACCATTTATCTTTTAAGAGCTACAGTTAGATCGTTTGCTTACATTCGTACCTGCCTGTAAAAAAATATATATATTTTTTTTCGGTGAGGAAGATTGGCCCTGAGCTAACATCTGTGGCAATCTTTCTCTACTTTGTATGTGGGTTGCCACTACATTGATTGATTGATTGATGAGTGGTATAGGTCCATACCCAGGATCCAAACGGGCGAACCCCAGGCCACCCAAGCAGAGTGCTCCCAGCTTAACCACTACACCACTGGGCCAGCCTTAGGAAGGATTTTTTATATTGCTAGAAAGTCAGTACAAAATGGATTGTAGGGGCACTAGGATATGAAAAAGAGTAGGGCACCTCTGGTGATCTCCTTATCATTGAAAAGAGGCTCCAAATCTTCATGCTGCAGAAAATATTCTCCTTACCCTAAAGTCGACATGCAGCTTGTGATCCCGGCAGATAGGGCAGGGATTCCCAGCAACTTTATTTCCACGCTGTAGAGAGAAGAAACTAGCAGGTGAAGGTATTCAAAGGCCTGTCAGAAAAAGTGCTGCCGCCACTGTCACTGTAGCCTCCACCTCTACACCTCATCCCACCCATGGCCACCCTCCGAAACTTACAATACATGTCTTTCGAGTCCGCTGTGGCGGTATCCCACCTTTGTGGTTGCGACGGTAGTCAGCCCAGACTGGGCGAGACCCATAGCGATTCTGGTAT